TTTAATTTTTTTAACAAGGTTGTTGTAAAAAAAAATATATATATATAAAGACTAGCTTGTTGTAAATTAAAACAAAAAAGTTAATACATATAATAAGGGAAATTGACACATGTCATGAGTAGAAGGGAGAAGATTAGAGAGAAGGTTTCTAGCATTCCCTTTTTTTATAGAACGGGCAGATGAAATTTTAATTTGAATTATTTCTATTTATTCAATTAATTGATATATTGTCAGACCACATGTCATCATATGAGTGGGTGTATGAGGCATATATATTGCCACATAAGCTTTAATGAAGGTCTTGAGGAATGACTAACGGATGTGTTAAATTAATATGAAAATAAAAATTATGTGTGCGACTAAGGCGGAAAAGATTTGATGTATCGATAGTAAAGTGAAAATTACCCTTTATTATTATTATTTTTTTTTATGGTGGGTTCTTCAGCATTGTTGTTAACTTAGTGCCTGTTTGGCATTGTTTATTTGAGGTGATAAGTGATTTTAAAAAAATTTTGGGAAGCCCAACTCGTTTGGTAAATTATGAGAAAATCACTTATTGTTAATAATTGTTGCGAGAGAAAGCTATAAAGGAAGTGCTTTCATTTTCTTATTATGCGGGAATTAGTTTCAAAGAGGCACTGAGTTTAATGATTATGCGAGAATCAGTACTAACAACACTTTTAACAAAAAGTTTACCCAAACTACTTTCTCTCACAGCAAATTTGACAGCAATTATTTTCACAACACAACAATGCCAAACTAGCCTTTAATGCAAAATTTGATGTGCATTGTCCACATAGTTTAGGACATTTAAAAGTTGAGAGGGAATTTAGAGAAAAGTTAGTATTTCCCATTACAACATGCATTAGCCTTTTATGTGTTTGCTCACAGGAAACTAGTGCTCCACCCAAATGGTAACAAGACAAGGGACGTGGAAGAGCACATCTCTCTATACTTGGAAATGGTTGGAACTGATTCACTTCAGTTTGGTTGGGAAGTATTTGTTGGTTTCAGGTTCTATTTGCTTGATCAGAAGAAGGGAATGTACTTTGTTCTTGAAGGTGCTGTCTCTATAATTTTCCAGTTGATGTAGAGACTTGTTCTTTTTCATATTTGTGATTTGCTGATCATTTTTCATGTTGCATTTCCTTAGATGCCAATGAAAACGAGAAGTGTTTGCATGAGATGATGCATTGTTTGGGTGTTGATCAATTTATCTCTTTTGAAGCATTTACTGATGTTTCCAAGGGATATCTCACGGGTGACACCTGTGTGCTTGGAGCGGACGTCTTTGTGTTCAAAGAAAGAAGGAAATGCAAAGGAGAGTGTCTTTCAATGATAAAAGATTCTGTTATGCGCAAGCATGTTTGGAAGGTTGAGAACTTTTCGAAGTTAGATGCTGAGAGCTACTACTCAGAATCATTCACAGCTGGAGATCAGAAATGGTATATCTGATAGGCCTTATTTGAAGGGCTTTTATTAATGTGGGTGCAGACGGAGATCTCTTTTTACCTGCATCATAATAGAAAATATTTACCCATACAAATGATGATGTTTTGTCTTTTGATGAACTATATATATGCAATTTCAAATACATATATATATAGGCCATATATAAAACTATGAGTTTGGAACTGGAAAACCTGTTGTAATTTTGCTTCAAGTTAGGTGCAGGTAATATAAAAATGCACTCTTGTTTTTTAATGTGTTGGTTGTTGCAGGAAGATACGGCTCTATCCGAAGGGTCATGGAAAAGGAAATGGCACTCATATTTCTCTTTACTTGGAATTAGATGATCCAAAAGTACCTCCAGGTTCGAAAATATTTGCAGATGTTTCCCTGGGCATTGTCAATCAATGCGGCGCCATTTATGAGTGTTATGAAGGTAAGGATTGTCCTATTTCAACGTTTAATTGTATATAATATGCCGGCACATAACATATGAGGGTTCATTCTGTAGCTAATATGTGGTTCACTGCATCGAGCCCGAGTTGTGGTTCTTCTACTTATATGACACTGAATTCTTTCGGTACGGAAGGCAAGGGTTTTTTGTTGAAGGATACTTGCTTGGTGGAAGCCGAGGTCACTGTCCGTGGAGTTGCCAGAGAACTATAGTTGTCTTATGTTCGGGATGAGATTTAATGTTAAAATGATGTTAATTAGGCTCAAGTTTGTGTTTTCTTAAGTGATTATTAGAATGCTTGCCTTTTCTTTTTCTTCAAAACTGTCATGCAACAAAAATCGTCCACATTACTTAGTAAATTTGGCTTTTCTCATCAAATTAATATTTTTCCTTACAGCCAACCCATTATCTTATTTTTCAATAAATAAAATCTAATTTTTATAGTTAAAAACTCATAACTAGGATTTTTTTTTTTTCCCTTTTCATGTTCCCCTCTCGTCATGTTGCTTTTCCTTTTTCACGTTTTGGTCATTTTCCTTTTCTCCCTGCTTGATTGAAGCCCCCTCTCAATAATATCGAGATATATTGACCATTTATCATTTTTTTGGGAAGCGATATTTTAGCACATTACCATATATATATCGTCAATTTATCGATAATTTCGCCGATATTTTGATAACGATATTTTCGTCCAAGTGGCAGCTGCAAATGGTCAATATAAGATCTGTAAGCGCTTAACCACCACGCCAATCATCACTTTGTGATAATAAGCTATGGAATATTTATTTATAATACTTGTGAGTTGTTTCTCAAAATAGAAATTAACATAATTACTTATTGTTTTATATTGTTGATCAGTTACTTAATTACTTAATATAATTTATTTCTTTTCTATTTAATCCATTTAGTGTTATGGATTATTTTATTATTCATTATAAGTATTTACATTACTAAATTCCCCTTCAAATTGTTGCTTAATTACTTAAATCTGTATAATTATTTTCTTTATTTACTATTTGATTCTTCCTTGGATAAATTTATTTATGTTCTTAGTTAATTTTCAATCTTCACTATTATTTTTTAAGCATGGTAAAGTGCCTAATTTTCATGAAAAATCAAGTTGGTTTACATCTTTAATTATTTTTCCATTTTTGATAAATAATAAATATAAGAACGTGTACCATGTCCAGTGAATAATGTGAAATAAGGTTACTCATGTATCTTACCATGCAATTTATAAAGTGTAAAATATTGTACTAAAAATGATAAATAAATTACTATGGGGTGTTTAATTCTCTTTCATTAATTACTCCAAATTTTCTAAGTCACAGAGTTTGTCAGCTCGCAATATAATCGACTTAAATCACTCAAACCCACTATGCAATGCATTTCCTTCCAATTTTTTGTGTCAAAATAATAGATAATTGACTAAATAAACTTCTTCTAAAGTTTCATTAAAAATTTCCATGTATTTATCACAATTTCTGTGGTTTTTATTCAATTTTTATCGATATCAATATCTTCCCGATATTTCCATCGATATTTCCGTGTTTTTGAACCACCGATATTTCCGAAACTATCGATATTTAAGACCTTGGTGTGAACTACTCACTCTCTTCTTCATTCAAACCACTTTACATTTCTTCCACCGGGAGTTTCTCATTGATGAGCAAAACCCAGAAGCGAGTTACAGAGTGCAAGGATCTATGTTTATTTTGTCTTCAAAGAAATTATATATTCATAAGAGGATGGATTGTGATAAGAATTTTTGAGGTTTTTCCATTTCATTTGGATTTAAATATTAATTCCGTGGACAATTTTTTATTGAACCCGAGAGAAAAGAGAGAGCAGAGGTGCGTGAAAGGCTGGGTCCACAAGGAAATATTCACGGGAGGTTAGGCTCTCAGGGAGGCCAACCAAATGACTCTCGCAATGAGGTTCGTGAGGAAAGGCGCTTCGCAACTCACTCCCAAAGAACCAATTCCCGTCGGCAAGCCACAGGAAATCCTTCGCAAGTGTAGTTTACCAATACGCCACACATGCAAGACAACAGAGAAGGTCGACCCTTGCGAGCCAATGAGGAAGTCAATCAGCGCTGTCCAAATCACGATGGTCACCGACGTGATCTGCAGGTCATGCGCGCAGAAGACGTGATGAAGCTTGTGAATAACCAATTTTGAGACTTGAAGATCGGTGGAGATTTCTAAGATGCTTTGCGCAGAGAAGTGGACCAAGCAAACTCCATGCCATTCATTGCCAAAATCGAGCAAGCTGCTCCCCCAAAGAGATTCTCAACGCCTTCATTAACACACTTCAAAGGGGATTCTGATCCCAAGAGCCATCTGAAACACTTTAAAAGTGTTATGATTTTCTACAAGGCCGACGATGCGCTAATGTGCAAAGTGTTTGTCATGACTTTTCAGCCCAGGATTGATTCCACACCTTATCATCCGAATCGATCAACAGCTTTAAGGAGCTAGCCTACGTCTTCACCAAGGAATACATTTCTTATCAGACGATCAAAAAGAACCCTGACCATCTGTTCAATCTGCGCAAGAAGTCCGACGAGTCCATTCGAGATTACATCAAGAAATTTAAGGCAGAAAAGGCAAACATCGTGGAGTGCGATGACCGAATCGCGTCCTCAACCTTCATGAAGGGCCTGCCAGCTGAACACGAATTATACCACAAGCTAACTATCGCTCCCAGCCAGACTTTGGTTGAGGTCTTCGCGACCGCGGAACGCTACGCGCTCTAGAATGACTACCAAATTGCAATGAAAAAGTCTACCAGGCAAGCTGACCAACTAGCCAAACAGGTAGGTTAGAGAGGTGATATATTCAACAACAAGAATAGTGCCAAGCGTAAGTCCCAAGGAGACACTCAGGCGGATGAGAACTTCACCAAGTTTTTCATCCCCATACATCAAATTCTAGCCCAAGTGAAAGACAAGCCTTGGGTAAGGAGACCGCCGCCTCTGAAAGAAGACCCAGATAAGAAGAATGCCCACAAATATTGTGCCTTCCATGGGGAATACGGGCACTACACGAATAGTTGCTTTGCCTGGAAAAAGTACCTCAAAGAACTAGTGAGAGAAGGCTACTGCAAGAAATTCATTGCAAAGCAGACCATCTAGCAGATCGAGTACCGCAATACCGCCAAGGAACTTTCCTAGAAGATCATAAGGATTAACACGATCCTACTCGACTCTAAGGAGTCCAAGTTGACCAGCAAAGAAAAGAAGAGGAAGATTAATTAAATTGTCACGACCCGACTTCCCTTGCCAGATATTGTCCGCTTTGGGCCTCCCTCCTCATGGTTTTTTTCTTGGGCTTAAGCTAATGCTATCTTGCCCAAAAGGCCTCTTGCTAGGAAGAGAAGTGCCAACACATATAAAGCACTTCACATTTCCCTCCCTCGAGCGATGCGGGATTGCTCACCTTTCTTGTTTCCCCAAGACACGGGTCTTACAATCCACCCCTTGGGGCCTAGCGTCCTCGCTGGCACACTTCCGGTCGGGGTCCAGATATGATACTTTTTGTCACGACCCGACTCCCCTAGTAAGATATTGTCCGCTTTGAGCCTCCCCCTTCACGCTTTGGACCAGAAGTGTGCCAGTGTGAACGCTGGGCCCCAATGGGGGTGGATTGTAAGACCTGTGTCTTGGGGAAACAATAACGGTGAGCAGTCCCACATCGCTTAGGAAGGGAAAGGTGAAGTGCTTTATATGTGTGGGCGCTTCTCTTCCTAGCCAGAACCCTTTTGGACAAGATAACATTAGCTTGAGCCTAAGAACAAAACCGTGAGAGGGGAGGCCCAAAGTGGACAATATCTTGCTAGGGGAGTCGGGTCATTTAAAATGGTATCAGAGCTGGACCGACCGGAAGTGTGCTAGCGAGGACGCTGGGCCCCAAGGGGGCTGGATTGTAAGACCCGTGTCTTGGGGAAACAAGAACGGTGAGCAATCCCACATCCCTCATGGTGGGAAAGGTGAAGTGCTTTATATGTTTTGGCACTTCTCTTCCTAGCAAGAGGCCTTTTGGGCAAGATAGCATTAGCTTGAGCCCAAAAAAAAAAAACCATGAGGGGGGAGGCCCAAAGCGGACAATATCTGGCAAGGGGAGTCAGGTCGTGACAATTTAATTAATGTGCCTGATAAGCAATAAACCAATAAACACCATGTAATAAAATAATGCTTTAATTTGACATGTTGGGTGGAATGCGAAACTCTATTATATGTCAAATTGCCACATAAGCCATCAAATTCAAATTTAATGTTTGAATTTTCCCTTAGAGATGCTCTTACCACAATCCTATACCATCTTATGCGACAACTGAGTTGGAAACCCCATGTCATTGAATTTGAGTTACAAGTTTTAAATTAGAACACGTTTCTTATAAAAATCTTATGTGGTAGGTTGGATGCGCCATGTCATTGAATTTGAGTTACAATTTTAAATTAGAACACGTTTCCTTTAAAAATAATAATAATAAAAACATTCTCCCCAATCTCCTCCCTCCCCCTTTTCACCCCCTCCCCCATTGGCGACCAGTCCAAACTGCACTGGCACTCTCGTTCAACAACAAAATTGAAGAAAAAAAGGGGCAACAACGGCCAAACTACAATGGCACTCTTGGGACTCAAGTGATTTTTTGAACATATGATCTTTGAAGGAATATCTACAAGATAGATGATTCGGATTATTGATATACTATGTGAATAGACTCTACAAGGGTGTTGAGGGATCCCTCAATAGAAACTTTATGTATACCCAAGGTATGTTATCTACCCTTGTGCCAATTGATTTTTTTCTTTTTTTTGGGTTATAAATTAGAAAGATAAAATGGGGTTTTCTACAAAAGTAGGACTCATGTTATGATTTTTTTTTTACATTTTTTTAATCCGAAAAAATAAATGGGTTGTTCCATACAAATTGGGGCCATGTTTTGATTTTGTTTTTTAGTTTTCATTTTTTAATCCAAAAAAATAAACATTTACTATATTATCCTCATTTATTTAATATTTCAATTCTTAGTATTATCATTAACCAACGTGGTATTTTCTGGTATTTTGAATGTTTCACCGTTCTCTACCACACAAAGCGTGAAAAGGAAGAAAATAATTAAGAAAACGTATACCATTTGTATCCTCCAGCACCAAACTCCCGAGACTCATATGTATCCACTGAATTTTCTGTCGAAAATGACTCTAGTTTTAGAGAGAGTAATGAATTGGTGGTGAATTTGAAAGTGATCTCAAAAGTCCTGGGAAAAAAAATCATAAAATTTCAATTACATAGCGTTTAGAGTAAAACACAAAATATAGAGAGACATAGAAAGTGGCTTACCATCTTGGTCAAAGCTAAGGCTGCCCATGG